CAAAAGACAAATTTTATAGGGAGAGTACACCAAAAACTGAACATTTTTGTCTTGATTGTTTACCCTATACACACCTGTATGACTTTCTTTCTTCTGTGGAACACACAAAAAATATTTTGAAGAATTTTTCTCTTTTTTTCATGTTTGTTTTTTTTCTGTACAATGAAAGTCAGTGGGTCCAATCTTGTTTCAAAGTATCTTCTTTTGTGTTCCATGGCATAGAAGAAAGAAACTCGTACAGGTTTGGAAAGACATGAGTGTTAGTAAGTGATGACAGAATTTTCCCTGACTCTGTTGCCTTTGGCTGCTTACTAGAGGGTTTGTGAGCTGCTATTGTTTGTAAAGCAGCTTTGGAAAAATATGTATTGAGAAGAGCACTATACAAACGATTCCATTTGAGACGAGAGAGAGAAGAAACTGTAGGCAAAATGAGAGAGATTAGAAAAGAGAAACAAAATTAGATTTCTTGTTTTCTTTGTGGCTTTGCTAACATAGGCCTATATGATTCAAGACATTTATATCCTAATTAGTTCATTGTTTTAAACCTATTTAACTATTCCACATATTTTATCCAATAGTCTCTGTTGTAAGAAGGTCACTTTACTGTAGTTTTGGCAGGTACCCTACACTGTTCAAAAGTTTGGGATCGGAATCATTTTTTTTTATTTTAGTTTTTTTCAAAATATTTTTTTATGCATCAAGACTGCATTAATTTGACCAAAAATACAGTTAATATTTTAAAATATTTTTACTATTCAAAATAACGGTTATCTATTTAAATATATTGTAACATTGAATTTATTCCTGATCAAAGCTGAATTTTCAGCATCATTACTCCAGTCTTCAGTGTCACATGATCTTTCAGAAATCATTTGAATATGCTGATTTGCTGCTCAGGAAACAGTCACTATTATTATCAATGTTGAAAACGGTCGTGCTGCTTAATATTTTTGGGAAAACCATGATATTTTTTTCAGAATTCAAAAATTCAAAATGAACAACATTTAATTGAAACTTTTTTTTTAAACATGTTTCACTTTTGATCAATTTAATGGATCCTTGCTTGAATAACAGTATTACACTCTTAAAAATAAAGGTTCCAAAAGGGTGTTTTTGCAGTGATGCCATAGAAGAAGCATTTTTGGTTCCCAAAAGAACCTTTCAGTGAACAGTTAAAGAAACATTTTAAAGAACATTTTAAAAATCCAACAAACCTTTTTCGACTAAAGAACCTTTTCTGCATTTGAAAGGTTCCATGGATGTTCAAGGTTCTTCATAGAACCTTTTATGCCAATAAAGAACCTTTATTTTTAAGAGAGTAATGTGGAATGTTTTATCTGATGTTTGAATAAGTTCACAAGTCTTCCAGTAATTGGCAATATTTAACTATTGTATAGTGTATGTATTTTTGTGTAATTATTTTTTGTCAGTATTAAGTTTTGTTATAGAAAACAACAACCAGCCAACTACGAAAAAATAATGATTACAAGATTTTAATGTACACACACTGATGTTTTTACACCCAAACCAGTGAGCTCAAAAGAAAATAAACATTCATTTGAGACTATAAGAGAACTCTTGCACCTCTGCAGAATAAAACCCACTTAATTTGTCAGTTTGATTTGCGATATAGAAACCTCTCCGCATTTGAAGCACTGCAGCAGTTTTAAATGTAAACAAGGATGGAGAAAAATAAAATTATGCTGTGAGAGTAGTTCTCAAAAACCAGTGTAAGCACGACTGCTAGACTCTATCTTCTTAATTGACTGCGTTGCAGATCCAGACTCTGTTTAATGCAAATGAAAAACAACACAGCACCTGGAGCAACTGCCAACCAGACTGTCTCTGGCTCTGAATGCAGGAAAGAGAGAGATTTTATAGGAAAAAAGATCTGTAAGAAACAATCTGAAATATCATCCATTACGGTGACTAAACAGAAGTGCTGACAAAAATCATTAGCAATAAAATCAGAGGCGAACGTCTAATCTCGCCAGTGTTTTCGTTAGCATTATAATGTTGTTCCAGCATATGCTGACAGGTCTCCCATCTGTTATAGTAATAATTAGATGTGTATCAGCGTTCTGCACACTGACAGAGACTCTCTGTCTCTCCAGGAACTGCCAAATTACTGCTCAAATGTAAGACACAAGTCAATATGGTGCACAAGTTACTTTTATCTTCTTGCTCATGAAAAGCCCCTCAGATCTCCAGAGAGTGAAACATGTGTGTATGAAACGTGTGTGTGTGTGTGTGTGTGTGTTGAACCTCCCACCTGGCAGAAATTGTTAAAACAAACACATCATTTGGCTAATGATCTGTAATAATGAATAATGAATTTGGATAATGTGTACATGAGCCTATGTGCATATGCGTAATGCATTATAATCAGTCATGTGTTCACAGTTGTAAACAGGTAAGGTTATAGCTTTAAAAAGTGTGGTGCATTAAATCAGATGGTTTTATGTGTCAGTTCATTCTCATAACTGATGAATTTTGCAACATTAACTCTTAGTTTTCTGCTTGTGAAGCTGCTTTGAAACAATCTGTATAGTATAAAACTTTTATAAAGCATTATGCTCTTTAAAAGTGTAATTGAATTAAAATGTTTTATGCCTGATTGCAAGTTTTGCAAACATTTAATGCATTCCATTCCATGAATACCTTTCATGAAGGTAATCACAGTTGTAATGCATTATACAGTATACAGCTAGGCTTCATGCATGTTAGCTGAATTTGCATTCAGTCGGTCAATTGGATTTACTGTTCTTACATCGTACTTCATTTTTACAAATCTGTTCATTGAAACACACGCAGGTCTGCATGTCTCAGAAACGAGTGTAAGAGTAAGTCTGATGTCTGTGTTCTCGTGGGAGTTTAGGCTGATGAGTCATTCTGTGATTCTGTGGTCTGCAGCAGTGTGGACTGGGGAGGGAAACAGTCTCACAGCGCCACCATGTGTCTATATTATATATCACATATGTTTGCATTTGTTATTGTATTTGCATCATTATATGTATTATATACAGTGTATCACTGATCTATACGAATAACTACTATACGAAATATAAATTATCTATTATAGATCAGTGATATATATACAGTGATACAGTTTTTTCCCCCTCATTATCACACTGTGCGTGTGTGTGTGTGTGTGTGTGCGCGCGTGCGTGTGTGTGTAATAATTTTATTTATATGCAGTTTGGGGTGAGTATTGTTAATGCTTTTAAAAGAAGTCTTTTACTTATCAAGGCTGTACTTTTTTGATGAAAAATACAGTAAATGCAGTAATATTGTAAAATATTATTAAGATTTTAAATGGCTGATTTCTATTTGAATATATTTTAAAATATATTTTTTTGTAGAATTTTTTAGCATTATTACTCCAGTGTTCAGTGTCACATGATCCTTCAGAAATCATTCTAATATGCTGATTTGCTGCTCGATTGTTATTGGTACTCAGTTATTAATAATGGTTCTTATTATTATCAATGAAAACAGTTTTTGCTGCTAAATATTTTTGTGGAAACCACGGTTTTTCAGGATTCTTTGATGAATAGAAAGTTCATTGAACTGCATTTATTTGAAATGGACATTTCTGATTTATTCCATCCTTGAAAACAGTTGTGCTGCTTAATGTTTTTGTGGAAACCGTGAAGCATTTTTCTGTATTCTGTAACGAATAGAAAGTCCAAAAGAACAGCATACTTGAAATAGAAATCTTATGTAAGATTGTAAATGTATTTACTTTCACCTTTGATCAATTTTAATTCATCCTTGCTGAATAAAATTAACTTCTTTCAAAAGAAAAAAACAAACAAACAAACACTCATTGACCCCAAACTTTTGTAGTGCATATTTTTTTGCTTGTTTGCTTTATCATTTGTAATTGTAGTATCATTCCTAATCATACACATACTTTATTTCAGTATAATTTATTCCAGTGAATTTCTCAGTGAGGGTTTATTTTTGAAAGGCCACGTCTGCATAAAAAAGTATAAGTTGTAACTACAAAAACAATATTCATTGTTTCATATTGAAAATTTAACATTTTCAGTGTATTGTAAATAATTGGGCATGCTGCCATACTATATGGGCTAAGTTTTCACAATGGCATCCTTTCATTAAACGGCCTACTTTAGAAAAATTAGAAACATGGTCCTCACTTCTTCAAGTTAAAATCAGCCTTCATTATGTTGTTGATTTCAGTTTTAGAGAAAATGTGCATTGTGTAATTGCACTTTCTGAATTTTGTGTTTAAACTTTAAACCTCATTCAGTTGTTACAGAGCCAAAGTACACACTTCCTGTGTGAAAACTAGCCCCACCCCCTGGTTTTACTTGGGTAGATTTACCACATAACATACTTGTATTACAAAAAGTGCACTTATTGCTAAAGGTCACATTGGTGGAAGACCAGATCTTTAACTAGCAGGTGTCATTAAAGGGGTGGTTGATTATGATTTCACTTTTTGAACTTTAGTTAGTGTGTAATGTTGCTGTTAGAGCATAAACAACGTCTGCAAAGTTACGATTCTCAGAGTTCAATGCAAAGGGAGATATTTTCTTTTAAAGAAATCACTGTTTAAGGACTACAAAAAACGGTTGGTAGGGACTACAACAAGCTTCTTCCTGGGTTTAAGACATCACTAACCCGATGTTTACATAACGGGAACACGCAACTACCTGTAATGGTAAGGTGGGCGTGACGTTTCCAGACAAAGTGCAGTAGGCGGTTAGCGAATCACAAACACACTGAGCCCGCTAACCAATCAGAGCCCATTGCGTAATTCTGAGGGAGGGGCTTCATAGAACCAGGAACTCAACAGACCGTTTTGACGAGAATGGAAACAGCGGTGTAGAATAAAGGTAAAATAAGTGAAAATAATGTGTTTTTTAAAAAACGAAGCATGAACACGTTACACTGCACCCCATAAACACAATCAAGCTTTTGAAAAAAGCTGATCAACCACCCCTTTAAAAACCTCCACAGAGCCTCATCTGTCAGTGCGGCTGAATGTCCCTCACAGGCAGCACACTCCTGCCCCCATATGGCAGTCCAAACAGAGGCAGCGCTTCTGCTGTATGGAGACCCTGAACGAGGCCAAACTGCCTCATGTGAAACTGCTGGGCGAGTTTGCGAGTCATGACATGCAGGGCCAGAAACGAGGCCAGCAGCTCGCCCAGCAGGAAGCCCAGATAGAGAGAGTGAACGGCCCGCTCCAGAGGAAGGATGATGGTGGCTTCGTCAGTGATGAAGAAGAGGAACGAGATCAGGAAGAGGAACGAGATCAGCCAAAATCCAGCCAACTGTGGAACCTAAAGAAAAGAATGAAGAAAAGAAGGATTAAGGATTCATTATATAGTAAACAATAACATTACTTTTAGATTTAGATTTTTAGATTAATATTCATTCATTTATTCATTATAATATTCATTCATTCATTCATATTTATTTGTTTATATTCCATGTTTTTATTTAAATCATTTGTTTTATCAGTTATCAGACTACAATTATTTATTATTTAGGTGGTTATTTCATTTTTATTTAATTGTTTTATCAGTTGTGGTCACCATTTTCATGCTTTATTTATTTATTAATATTAATTTCTATTTAATAATTTGTTTTATCAGCTGTGGTCACTACAGCTATTTATTTATTCATTCATTTATTTATTTATTCATATTTCATTTTTATTTAATTTGTTTTATCAGCTCTGGTAATTTTTCATGGTTATTTATTTTATATTTTATTCCTATATAATTTGTTTTATCAGCTGTGGTCACTACTTTCATGTTTTTTTATTTTTATTTATTTTGTATTTTCTTTTTATTTCATTTGTTTTTTTCAGCTGTGGACACTACTTTTGTGGTTATTCATTTCTTTTTTATTTATAAAATTCATAAAATTACAGTATATCCGTTTTGGAGTTTGAATGCTCTGGTCAACTCATTTTATGTAGTAAATTTACTTGTTTAATTTGTGTGTGTGTGTGTGTGTTTTGGTGTTGTTGTTTCATTTTTAGATATTATTTAGATATTTTTAGATATCTCTAATTATAAAGATAATTGTACTGTCATCACTTTAATGATGATAATAAGTGATTTTTTTAAAATAAATTAATAGTAATTTCATTTATTTTTATTTTATTTTTAATATTTTTTTTAAATCTTACTTCATGACTACAACATAGTTTTAGGGCTGTCAAACGAATAATCATGATTAATCACGTCCAAAATAAATGAATAATTGAAATTTATTTAAGTGTGTGTATTTATATATGTAAACACAAACTTTTATTATGGACTTGATTAATCACAATTATTCGTTTGACAGCCCTACACAGTTTATAGCTTGGCCCCAAAGTAAACATTTTTACTTTTTCTAGTTCACCTGCCAGATGTAAATATTTACCAGTAGTGAAGTGTGAGTAAAATTAGCATTTAATCTCATGATTTTCTCTCCCACACATACAGGCTCTATTAGGCCATGAGCAGTGTTCAGATGAATGATTTCTAACATTTCTTGTGCTTTACCTTCACTTTGAGATTCCCAACGTAACCGCAACAGTGGTGTAATGTAACGAAGTAATAATACATTTATAATTTGTAATAATACAATCATTTATAATTGATATATAATTATTCATGAAGGCTGGAAGTGAAAAATGTCTAATATTCAGGTGTGCATAATTAAGCAGATTTTCTTTTACAGATAAAATGAGCCAAAAAAGAGATTTAACTCAGACTGAAAGTCAAAAATTATTAAATGGCCATGAGAAATACTCAAAACTAATACAGTACTAGAAATTGCAAAGTTAATGCATAGCCATTGGACAGCAAAATGCTCAGTGGGTCAGCAGGGTCAGCCAAATTCTGAGGCAGCGTAACTGTTTAATGACCTGCAACACAATAGAACGAGTTTTGGTAATAGCTAAAAGAATATTTAATTACTGATTTCTCACTACAAAATAACATCAAAAGTGCAAAGAGTTATTCAGAAATATACATTTACATACAAACTGACCACCAAACGCAACTTTCAGATGCCGTCTTTATTTTTTAGCTCAACCGTCACGGAATGAAACGCACAGGATTGTGGGATACCAAAGGCAGCGAAGGATACATCTATGCTGCCTTCAAAATTCGATCAGAAGAAGGCACATCCAGAGACAGGAAGTAAAGCAGAATTTGGATTCAGACGTGCCTTGATGCCTTCCTTCCTTGGAATGCTGCCTCCGAAGGCAGCATTTTAGAGCTTTCGGATGCAGCCATAAAGATGTCCGATTTCCGGTCCCTGTGCAGCTGATAGTTAACGGCCATTGTCTCATCTGCGTTCGAGGGGAGGGGCTTACCGATAAGGTCAATTCTGCCCCGACAGCAAGCTGCAACTTTCGCCGATCGGTCTGCGCTGCTCCGCATGAAGTTGAACACACTGCTGTTCCCAGCATGAGATCTTCGAGATTCGGACCTCGGCATTTATAGGCTTATTATAATAATGAAAAAGATTTTAAGGTTGTTCCTAGCATTTGGTGCCATTTGAGTCCCCATTATATAATGTGGTATATTTTGTGTAAAAATGGGCTAATACTTTGCTAAACGTCCAGGTCCCAGGGAAAGGAACTTAAAGCACTGATGCTAGAAAGCAGTTATGCGAGAAAACAGCCAAATGATACCAAAAAACACCAACTCTTCAAATCAAGCAATTCTTTTTATTTGAGGAGGTGGAGGTGGGGTGAGGTGGGGGTAGAGACAGAATCTTTCTAAACTGTTTGAGCAAACAGGGAACACATGCAATATGAATAAAGCACTGAATTGAAAAGATCTCCAGTAAGTGTTATGCAAAATTCCCATGACCATTTCAATGACCACATCCCTGACCACATCGCCGACCACTTCCTTGACCACATCCCCGACCATTCCCTTGACCACATCCTTGACCACATCCCTGACCTTGGCCACATCCCCGACCATTCCCTTGACCACATCCCTGACCCTGGCCGCTTCCCTGACCCTGACCGCTTCCTTGACCACTTCCCTGACCGCTTAAACTGTAACTTTATTATTGTAAAAACTTCACAAATTTTAACCTTCAATATTATATTAATGTAGTACCAACTGACTCTCATGTATATTTTACAGCATTAGTTGAGAGATTTTTTTTTTCTTAAGAAAATTTGACATGTACTGTACCTGATATTTATACAAAATCAGTGGTGGACAGTGATGGAGTAGTTTTACTTCGTTACTGTGTACATTTTTCAAGTATCTGTACTTTACTGGAGTAGTTTTATTTTGAGTAACTTTTACTTTTACTTCACTACATTCCAAAGCATAAGATCGTACTTTTTACTTCACTACATTTCATAACACATATCATTACTCCTTACAATATATCACGTGCTCCGAGACGCAGAAGCGGTGTCTGATTCA